ATTTCTGATAACTGAAAAGAGACAGTGGACTTCACATGGGCCTTTTTTCATAGATCTTCAGGAAATGGGAGGAAGGCAGTCAAGTGATGTCATCAGTGTGATTTTATTTCAAAAGAAATTATTTTTGTTAAACGGTAACACCAGTGACACAACTCCAGGGGACCACTACTTTCATTATATATTTTATAATATTTATTTGGCATTTTGTTTTTTTTATGTCATTTACATCATATATTTGATAGTTATGAATACATCATTGTATTTTAAATGGTAGAAAAAAACTGTTTTTGACCTCAAAATAAAGCACTTTTCCTCTGTACATGGCTGTGGGGACGAGCAGTTTTGTGGTGCTTGGAATTTTTTATAATTAATTAAAAATAAATATTGCCACATTGATGGCTCAAGAGGGTGTAATTGTTCAAATAACACATTGTTTTATTTTAAAATATACAAAAATTGTAACGCTAAATTGTTTTTCAAGTGTAATATTTCTGTAAAGGCTAGGGACAGAAAAGTGGACGTTTCCACAGAATGACCCAACAATAGAAGGCAACAAGCTACCAGTAGAGACCCACAGGGAACATTACAGTTTCCATTAAAACCAATACAATCAGGCTTTCTACAGTTACAAATTCTATGAGGGTTTCTACTGTTTTTTTATCTTATATTAGTTATTTAGTTTTAGTTTATAGCAGTTTTATTAGTTAGATTTTGTGTAAATGTATCTGTGCAGTGCTGTTTTGTGTCAGAAACATTAATCTGACTGTAAACTGCAATTACTCCATGTGATAATTGTCTTAAAGTGTACCGCATATGAACAGTCCGTCACTTTAAATGAAAAATATTGCCCTAATCAATCAAAACCTTTAGCAGTCTCATACAGTCTGGAATATTTCTGCAAGTTCTGGAAGGATCTGGCATGTGTGGGAATATTAGGGTCAGTGGGGCGCAGCGCTTGTGTAATCAGGACAAAAGCTCTTAATCCCATTAAAGAATGAAACAGTGAGACTTCACCCCATCATCCTCTTAATTAACACTTTCTCGTCAGTCAAATAAATGAGGTAAAATGGACTCGTGTTTACTACCTTGCCGGCGTATTTTGGCGCAAGATCTCTGAAGCGCTGCTGCAGCGGGTCCAAGTGAGTGCGCCCTCTATCAGCCATCAGCAGCAGGTGCGTCTTCACCACACGTGTTTACTCGGCGTATTTTGGCGCAAGATCTCTGAAGCGCTGCTACAGCGGGTCCGAGTGAGTGCGCCGTGCGCCCGCCATCAGCAGCAGGTGCGTCTTCACCACAGACTGGAACAGACCCACTGCAGTCTGACACACACACACACACACACACACAG